AATTAGTTCAAAATATTTTTAAAACCATTTTTTTTAGATTGAACGTATCTTAACCATTGATAGTTCAATTTGGAAGCCCGATAAAACATCTATTGCAGACCCCCAAAGGATTGTAAATCAAACAACCATTGTTTTGTTAAGCTGAATTTTCTTGTTACTCTTATTCTAATCTCTTAGTCCTGGACCAAAATGAACATTTGTTTTTTATGTAGATTTTATAACTTATTGTGTATGAAATAGTAATTATTTTGAATTAAAAAAGTAAAAGTCAAGTTGAACACTATATGCATTAAGTTTTTGCATCTTCATATTTTCAACCGTGGCTGTTTGCTTTTTGTAAATAAGGGCTTTAGCCTTTGAATTCATTAAAAAAGAAGCTTTGAAGTTTTTAAATTAACAAAATGGATGAAGGCCTAACCAGATGATCGAGGCGGTCTTCTTTCCGGTACAAAACTCCCTACATACGTTCATGATCATTATTATTCTTACATCTTAAGTTGCATAATTAAGAGTGTTAACAAATGAATAAATTGTGTCATTTCGTGATCTATTATTTAATTAATTAATTATAAAATATTATTATGATCATTTGTTAAGTTTAATAAGAAAAAATCAAATCTATTCACCGAATTGTTTATTGAACATTCTATTTGTTTTTATAAGCGAATTGAAAATGAAAAAAATTTGTTAGATTCATGATTTATTTGTTTAATTAAAGAGTTTGAAAATATTATTCATAATTATTTGATAAAATTAATAAATAAATAAAATCGAACATATTTATAAATGATTCGGCAAACATTTTATTTATTTACTTCACTATCTAATTTTATATGTTCAAGATGAGAGAGCCATATGCCTTCATACCCCTACAATACTCTGCCTCAACATTAACCTACCTGCTCAATATCATAATGGCATACATTATTGGATAATGAAAGCCGTTTACAATTATAAATTCCTAAAGTCTATTCGATGTTATCGATCATCATCTGAGCCCAAATATGGGAGGACAAAATGCAAAAGCCCATTTATTATGCAAGGTTCCAAGTATTGATTATTGGTTCAGATTCTAAAGGACTTAAAAATCAGTAAGCAGGTTATAGGGAAAAGCCACCTCATCTCTCAAACTCTACATGGCTACAATGGTTCTCAATCAAGTTTATGAAGTTTGACTTGGAAAAAGGAATGAAGTAGCTAACATGTTTTCATTATGTATTCAATCATCTCTCTATGATTTGAAATAATTAGCAGCAATTAGCAGATATAATATAGGGATTACCAACTTCCAATATCCACCATAATTGGCAATGTTGGATCCCGGCAGACTTCACACCAATACAGCTACAGGCACTGGCACCTACCCAGAATCTAATGATTTGAGACTCCATTCAACAGTAAACCTTTCATACCAAGCCAAGAAGCATTAACAACGAAGCCAATAAGACGAAACCATTACTGCAGGAGATAATGTATGATGATTACCTACAGAGAAAGATGAACTGAGATGGGTTGACATGTGACCTGATTCTTACGTGACCCAACTCCTGCATTCAAATAATGGAGGGCAGAAAAACACCATTATGATAAAAAGAGAAAAAAATTATAACCTATTATAAATATATAATTAAAAGAGAAAAAATTTAAACAAACCATTATCATAAAAAGAGAAATCTTGATGACCCATAATCATGAAAAGATAAAACTTGATAATGAAGAGAAAGAAAAGGGTACCTGAGAAATCTTGTCAGTGAGGTTAAGACATGTATTGAGACCATGTATGGTTCTACGGCTGTTGTAGAGCAAACGGATACATCATCTCCTCAAACAAATCAAATCTGAGATACTCATGTGAAAAAGAAAAAAAATCATTTTCATTTTCCTCTGAAATCTTTAATTGATTTGCCTTCATTATTCCCTATGTTACTTTGTTAATCATATCCAAGTGAGAGGATAAAGGATAAAATACTTCTTCATTGTTAATTTGTTACCAAAGCAAAATATTGGACTCAAATTGTTGTTGTGGAAAATTTTTTTTCTTTTTCATGAAGTTGTGGGAAATTTTTTTTATTGATGGTAAAATATTCATTTTCTTTAATTTAATCATATGAAAATGAAAATTTCTCACCTATCTTTGTTCTCTCATAACTAGATTTTGATGTTAACAACAACTATTAAGGAGGATGAGTCAAGAATAAAGAAATGAATCCCTTTCTTAAACTCAACTCAATCTAATCAGAATGTTTTGCATTTTAAAAAAATTATTTTATGATTAAATGGGTATTTTATTTAAGCCACCAGGCATATTCAAGCATAAGTGCTTAATGCTTTATTCATAGTGCATGTAGTTTATTGAAGACAAATAATGGCATGGAAGATTCGACAGGTATTCTTTACATCTATCGTCATTTGGTTTGCATAATAATATATTTATTCTATCAATATGAAATTTATTCAATCAATTAAAATTTATTTTTTTAATAAAAGTTATTGGGTTCGAGTCTTATCGGTGATTATTTGTTAGAATCATTTTGAATGTATAATTTACAATCACTTTGTTTTAAATTATTAGATAAAACACATCTTATCTTGATTTAACTGAACAATTTATTTATCTCAAAATTTTTGATTAAAAAAAATTGATTTCGTTTAGTTCATGATAAAGTTTTGTTAAATTATTTCCTAAAAATTCATCATTAAACTTGAATATAGTTTCTAATATTTTAATATTATTTAACTGGAGATCTAAAAGAATGATATAAGTTTTTTAAAGAAAATACTTTGGGAACTGATCACTTTTTTTTTTTCAGTAAAATTCAGTGTGTAATTTATCTTGGAACTTAATGAGTGAAATTTAGGGATAAAGTAATTTTAGATTTTACTCAATTTTTAATTAATTTAAATAAATTTATTTATATTAAATTAAATAAA